ATCATCTGGACCATATTTTTTTGAAAAACTTTTTGACTAAAAAACAGTAATGTACTGCAAGAAAAAAGTAAGATGTGAGAAAAGAGCATAAGAAAAACTGCACTTGTCGTTTAGAGGTAGTTCTCATATGCTACCTGCCGATAAGCTTAGAGTTTATTACTTATGGCAGCACGGCACTTGTTGTTTAGAGATAGTTCTCATACGCTATCTGCCAACAAGCCTAGAGTTTATCACTCATTGAAAAAACTTAGTACTGTACAAACTTGTGGAACATCTGTTGATGTCTATAAAACTTACACTCTTTTGAATATATGCTAGTGGTCTTCTCTGTATTTTTTGCTCTTTGTTATTCTCACCAAAAATTTCAACAAAAAAGTGGGCATTTTAGCTTACCACCTCCAAAAGATTGGCATTGTTTACACCTATCTAATTCAGATGACTCAGTAGAATGCAACCATATATTTGTTTTGTTTATCGATACAGTGCTACAGTACATAGAAGAAATCACTATCTCCGTTTAGGAGATACCCAAGTCTAGTCGGTGTCCGGAACGAGTTCCAAAGCTAAACCAAAGGTTTACAATCGAGATATAGTAATTAGTTGCAATTATTATATAATTTTTATCTTTACATCTAGCACAGGCTATAATAGTGTATCATGGCACTTTCTTTTTTTTCGCTTTTTTTATCTTTGTTCATTTATAGTAGACTATTTTAGAATTTGTTGAAAAGTTTTTTTTTCCCACCGTGAGGTGTTTTTTTTTTTAAAATATTTATGTCTCTCATAAACATAGCATTATTTTTTCACTTTTATGTATAAATAAGAGTTTTAATTTTGTTGTCGGGCTTAGATGGAAGAAGTCTGAAGAAAGAGAAGGTAGTCATGATGGGCGGCAAGGTTCACTGTTGAGAGCCAGGTCATATCCAATTGCAGGAGGGGTCTGGAAAGAGGGAAATCTTGCTATAGCAAGTCGAGCATAGGTACCAATTAGGGTAACTGGGTTAGTTTTAACTTGTAATTTAGATAACATTAGGTTTAATGATTGTTATTTAGAGATAGTTCTCATATGCTATCTGCCGACAAGTTAAAAGTTTATCATTTACCTTCTAAAATGCAACTTAGTGTAAAATTTTATGAGTCTAGAGAATTTGTACAAAGCCTAATAAAGCTAAAGCATAACTGCCGAATTTAAAAAAAAATAAAATAAATTCAAAAATCACCTTTTCCTACAATATAAAGTTGATTTTTTATTAAGCAAACCTTTATAAGCTTCTAACAAAGGTTGTAGAGCTAGCCTTTGTGATTCTAATAATAGTAATATCAGTAAAATTGGTTCAGTATATCAAAAGTTACAAGCAATTTAATTTTAAAATTATGTATATTTATATAGAAAAGGTGATTTTCGTATTACTATATTTATTATAAAATCTCCCCTATTGCCATTCTCATTTATTCGCAAACTATCAATTAAATTTTTATATTAATAAATTTCAATTGGTTAAGTTAATAAATTTAAAAATAAATTTTTTTAAAAACTAACTAATTAAAACTAGCTAAAATTTTTTTTACAAATTTATTATAACCACTATATTTATATACATAAAACTTAAACCTGTAACTTTAAAAATAATTAAGATATGAATCTACTAACATGACTTATTAACTGCCTATATAAAATGACATGTCATTTATAGTCATTTTCATAAAAATTTTTATAACCTTATCATTTGCCATTACTGCCACATACAGTACTATACATACTGTACGTATGCTAAATTTTTACTGACCTTATTAAGGGGGACCTGATAGAAATATTAATATGCAAATTGACCAATCATATTTGTTAGTTTGTTAATTTGATCAATACAAAAATTCTGTGTTTTTTGTCAGATAAATCTCTTAATATATATATATGATTATATATTTATATAAATTATATGTATTGCAGGAGAGATCGTTAATGTTACACATATATTAATCCAACATAAATAATTTAATTTGTAATTGATCACAGGCGAGAGAGATTCACTTTGGATCGTGCTCTGTCTTTGCTGTATATATGTATAAAATTATAAATATTATTAAATAAAAAAATTTAAATTAATTCACGATCCGTCTGGAAACTGAGGGATATTCCTTTTTTTTGGAATCTGGCGTTTTACTAAAAATAAATCGATTTTGTAATAAGCAAACATCTCTTGTGCGCATAACGAATGTTATAGAAAAAGAATTTATGAGTATAATGGTAGCTGAAATTGAAATCAGCCTAGTGAATCGTAAGATATGGCATTTTCATCTTTATGACTTATTTGTTAATATCATATAGTCGTGAGGACAAATACGCCTATATCTCATGACTCACTGGGCCGATTTTCATCAAGAAAATTAAATAGGTTTAAATTTTGCAAAAATCTGCATTTTTGCAGATTTTTGCAGAATTTTTACAAATAATCTGCAAAAATTTTATATAATTTGAAGTTTTATACAGAGATACCTTCACAATGGTTATTATGTACATAACCAAGCAGATCATGAATTAAATTAAATCTAAAATAATTTAAATATTTATTTATTAAAATAGATTAAATATTATATTAATTGTAATATAGACTAATATAGCTACTAAAGCAACTTTATTATATACGTATTGTGCGACTATACACTAAAAAATTTGATCATATAAATGGTATATCACTACATATACTACATGCTTTTTATTGTATTTCATTATATTAAGTGTGTATTATTCACCCTTCATTTCAATTTCGCTTTTTATTTACAATTTACTACACAAATTATTCTTTCATTTTAAATATTCACATTTTGTTTTTTCAAAAGTATACTTTAAATTTCTTAAAAATCAAAATTTATTTTTTATATACATCATAAACTTCAGATTAACACTAAACTATTTCAATTATCATCATTGTTCTGTTTATTTTTTGCGGAATAATATTAGTTTTACCAACAATTGGAAACCTATTATACATATTTACATAGCAAACAGATTGTACAAATTTAGATACTGTATATCTTATACGTGCACTTCGATGCAATCAGTTTCTGATATGCAGTCAAATCTCCCTAAATGCACATTGTCGGGACCAGCTTTAGAGTGTATATTTATGGTGGGTTAGGGGTCTGACTATATAATATTTCTTTATATAAAGTGTGTGTATAATCGATGAATATTTCTCAATTCGCTTTTCAAATTATCTCTTTAAAATCCACTTCATGAATTATTCTTACATTCAAATTTTCACATTTTGTCTTTTCAAAAGTATACTTTAAATTTACTCTTCAAAAATCCCAAAATTATTTTTCTTATTTACATCATAAACCTCAAATGAACATTAAATTGTTTACCATTATCGTCGCTGTTCTGTTCATTCTTTGTGGTATAGTTTTTCTTCTAATTTACAAAATCATCTTGTAATTACCATTAATCCTTTTGTTTATTATTTAGCCATAGAGCATGGAATAAATACAAAGTATATAACTAAAACTTGCTACAAAGGTCTAAAACTATGTGATAATACTTGTGTTGACATCACCTGTGACAATAAAAACTGTGAATCTTGTGGCAAAGCTGTATATTATTCATTTCTTTTTTTTTTTAACTGCTTAATTATAAATTTCATTGCTAATCTCCTGCGAATGATGTAGTGTATTGATGGTCAGATCTGCAAAAAAGGAAACTGTATTTGCTCTCATGGTCTAAAAATGTGTAATAGTACTTGCATCGACACCAACTCTAATAATCAAAATTGCGGATCTTGTGGCAATGCTGTATATTATACTTTTTTTTTTTTTTAGCTGCTTAATTATAAATTTCATTGCTAATCTCTTGCGAATGATGTAGTGTATCGGTGGTCACTGCAAAAAGGGAAAATGTATTTGCCCTCATGATTTAACACTGTGTGATAGTACTTGCGTCAACACCACCTCTAATAATCAGCACTGTGGATCTTGTGGCAACGCTGTATATTATTTTTCTTTTCCTTTATTTAACTGCTTCATTATAAAAATTATTTCTAATCTCCTATTAATAATGTAGTGCCTTGGTGATCAAACCTGCATAAATAGAACATGTATATGCAACATAGTATGCCATTAATTCCTTTCATTTTTTTACTGCTTAATTACAAATTCTCTTTTCTTACTCCATTCAAACATGCTTCTAGCCCAGTGGTTGAAACTGTCCAACCCATCAATATGTGCTGCTATTAAATATTGCTCAATTGGTTCAAGTACCTCTTGTATTTGTGCGAAAGCTGTAGAAGGAGTAAATGTTTGTGTACTCTCTGTTTCACATAGAACATGTTCAACATCTTGTGATTGTTCTTCAAGACAATTATGCATCATTAATTCCTGTCATGGCTCAATTTGTGTACTTCCCTGTATATCGAAATCTTCGAATGTATCATCTAGTTTAGCTAGTGTAAATTCAGTAAACATTTTTATCCAATGAAGATTGTATCAAATATATTTTGATTAATTGAAGTAGTTACATTTTTTGCTATTATAAATTTTTGTGTATTGTTAGAAATTTTTTTAAACCTGCGATTAATTGCATACTCTAGTATTTAATTCTAATATTTTTCAAAGTCTGTAATTAGAAAATATTGCAATATTACCGTTTACATTAGATTAATATCTTTGATTAGTATGATATTGAGAATTTAGTAACGTTTGGATGATAATAAACTTTTTTATTAGTTATACTGTTAACTTACTCACTATCTGCTATAGTGTTTGATTGTATTGACGTGACAGAAATCAAAAATTAAAACTCAAATATTGTTCTCATGAGAACAGTATAATAACTAGATTTTCTCAAAATATTGTTTTTATGTTTACAAAAAAATTAATATTAAAGAACAGTAAAATTAATGAATAGTAAAAATAAAAATTATACTGTGCACAAATTCATAACAGGTTCTCATGAATCTTGGTTTTATATATAAAAGGAAGTTTCGTTCCATAAAGGTTTTAATTTTTTACAGCTGTTTTCATTATTTCTGGGACACCTATAAAAAATTAGTCGAATGGTTTTTTGGCTGATTCAGTTAAGTTATTTTTTCGGTATATAAAAAATAGATTTTTAATTCGACCAATTTTTATTTACAGTAATATTGATATAATATCTATGTTATAAATTAAATTTCATCATTAGTCCAATTTCAAAAATTACCATAATAATTATAATACTTGTTTTACAAATTATTTTATTATTATAATGTCAATATAATTAAAGTATATCAATATTATTAAAATTTCGTTTGAACGCTTGCCCAATATGCTTGGTGTGTTTAATTTGTGCAAAAGTTTATGGGAAAGACTGTTCTTGTCAACCAATAAACCTTGATAAGAAATATAAAAAAGCTTTCGGATATCAAATTAGCTTTTATAATAAATATATTACACAATTTGTGCTAATATTAAAAAAGTTAGATACGATCAAGAATTCGCCGATTGGACTAAAAATTCAACTAAAGTCAAGATTCCAAAAAATCAAGACTTAATTAATATTTGTCAAAAATTATGAACAACAAAATCAAAGTTCATAGCAGATTTAACAATTAAAGGTTCTCTAGAATCTTTATCATCAATGACAAATACTTTTAGTTATTTGACTTGTCTGAAGTGACTGCAACTGATTCAAAAATTAATTGGATATTATTAACATGAATGAACCTAAAGAGCCTTTTATAAAATTGTTAAAAGTTTATAAAATAAAATTTTGTATTAATATATGAAATATTACCTTTTTGTGCGTATATCCAAGTAGGTATATAGTCCTCTAAATTGTTGTTATGTCTAGCGATGCAAACCAAACTATTTGGGATATCCCAAATTGCGTGATGAATAGTATCAAACAGTTTTAGCAATAGTAATAACACAGTAAATATCTAATGTGATACTAGTCGTCACATAATTTGGGATGTTCCAAATAGTTTGGTTTACATCCCTAGTTACATCCCAACCAAAGCTCCATCTCGAATTGTAATTCAAACAAGTACCAGTCAGGTTTTTCTTTCATTAAAACTTTAATATCATTCATGTTTAAAGAACGTGGTTTTCCTGAAAGAAATGAAAGTTTTTCAATACAACAATATCTTTAAAATGTACAAGAACCTGACTTATAGAAGATGTGCTAACATCTAAATGTTTTACAATTTTTTGAGTTGATAGGCCTTCTAAATTTTTTCAATAATTTGCTAGTGAATGTAGGTTGAAAATATCTGTCACATATATGACAGTAACCAATGATCAAAAGCTTAATAGAATGATAACAATAATAGAGTAAAATAAACTATGTAATTAGTAATAGCGTCATTATTAAAGTATTGAACGTAAGGATATAAATAAGAAATATAAAGAGAACGATCTAAAGAAGTATTGGCTTAGAATAGATTAGTTTAGTTAGAGACTTGCATATTTTGGATAAAGAGAATAATAAATATTATTGTCAATAACATTTTAAATAAATAAATAAGCAAGTGTTCGTTAGATCCATATCTGGTTAGATTTCGGTGCTAAATTGCTAGTATCACTTAATCTCGTGATAGTAACAGTATCATATTTTTTTAATTCAACAAGAGATGTGCATAATTTTATATTTATATTATCCACCTGATTTTAAATTACGTATACTACATCAATTTTTATTGAATTTATTATGCCGAAAAATAACTTAACCGGCAAAAAATCATTCAGCTAATTTTTTATCAGGTTATAGCTGTTTTCATAAATTCTGGGACACCTAAAAAATTTCTTGTTTTCCGGAATCTTTTTAGTGTCGTCCAGTAAATAATTTAGCTCTCTGGAAGCTACATCGCTATTTTGAGACCTTAGTAGCTAAACCACAAAAACTTTTTCGCTCATGTATGATGTCGAATTAAAATAATCAAAATATTGAAGATCCTTTTAAGATTTTGAAAATTATTTTTGATTCTAGAGAAGATTTCTCAATAACAAGTTGATTAAACTCGGTAAATTTTTTTTATTTTAATTCTATACTTTTATGAATTAAAATAAAAAAAATTCATTGAATTTGGATAGATTGTTGTTGAGGAATAGGACAGTAGAAGATTCGTACTGTACCATAGCATTAAATGTACTGTACTGTACTTAAATTTATATATAGTATATTATATATTAGTACAGTACATCTTTTACATATTATATAAATATAAATATGTATCGTACTAATATTTAATATAATTAAACAATTAACATACAGTACAGTACAGTGACTAGATAGATGCATAGCAGAGTCAAACAACAATAACAAGATAAAAAATCTGTAAATTTAAAATTTTATTTATCAATTTTTATCTTATTAGAATTTTTTCTTAAGAATTTAATCTATGTAATTAGTATTTTAAATAAACCAAAGAATTATATTATTGAAGTTATTATGTAATCAATTTTACAAAATATGCATTCAACACTATGAAAAATAATATACCAATTTATATATATATTTTTTAACGCTTAATTAATACAAATAATTAAATTTTATTATTATAAGCAATTTGCAACTTACAGCATATTGATATATATATTAATAAATAGAAATTTTAATTATTAATAAGCTTTTGAAGCTTTTCTCGCAACATTATTTCCTTTTCTAATTCACTATTTTTGCTTTTTTGAATTTCAAGTTTTTCACGTTCAATTCTTAAAAGTTCATTATCATCAATTTCACTTGTAATAATGGATTTATTTTTAGTAGCCTGAGATTTTTTAGATTTTTGAGGAGTTTTATTAGTTTTTCTTTTATTTTTGTTTTCTAAAATTTATAATAAATTGATATTAATTAAGATTTATTAAATTGTAATATAAATTAATAAATACATACGAGATTCTGTTAAAATCTTCTGTAGTTCTTTGCAATGGTGATTTATCTTGATAGGAATCTGAAATATTAGTTTTTTCATATGTAGATGCAGTACTCCATTGATGTAAATCAAATTCTTTCGCTCTATTTTATAAGTTAAAAAAATAATATATAATATATATATTTATAAATATTAAATATTAATATTTACCCGGAAGGGTTAGGATTAAACAACTCTCTAACATCTAACCTGATTGTTGCTAACTCTTGTGGAACTGTGCGAGCTGGGTATATGGTGACTGATGCAAAAGACAGCTCTCTGGTGGTATCATCTTCAACATCTTTAATCCTTTATGATCCACCTAATACACTAAACACCAACAACGATAAACTCTTTGACATATCATACTCATCATACGAAGTAATATCAGAAGAAGAATATAATAGTGAAGATTACCACATACCAAATTACTCCTTATATGAAACAATAACTCAAGTAACAGAATTGCTTGGAATCATAGACCTTCTTACATGTTACAATAAATTTCTCTTTTACTATAAACTACCTCCACTTCAACATCCACAAACAATTCACACCTTTTTACATTACATCTATCAAGAATTCCCTTTATTCTACTCACCTCAACATATTAGAATCTCTATTCTTAACAAAAAAGATAATGATAACAACTATAAAGAAGCACACATTTATTTACCTAATGAAACTTGCCCACTTCCAAATCACTTTCTTCCTTCTTTTCAAGACTTACTTCACTGGTTCAGATATGTTTCTCTTAGATCTTACACACAAACTACAGATAATAACTCTTTTATACCAAATTCTATTGATGATTCTCTCTTTATTAATTTACCTGTACCTTTACAACCACCTGATCCAACCTTATACCATCCAAATAATTTACAATACACTCCAAGAAACCTATCTACTTACAACTCTTATAACAACAATTCTCCTTCACCTCTTAATCTTTCACTATGTACACATAACATTCGAGGTTTTAACAAAAATCTTAAACAGCAAGTTTGGGAAGATTATTGCCTCTCTAATAATCTCGACTTTATTTGTTTAACTGAAACCAAACTAGCTAGTAACAAACTTACTTTAAAGCCTCTTAGAACACTGCACTATACCTACTTTCAATCCTGCACTAATAGCTCAAAAGCTGGAACCTCCATTATGATCTGTAACTCCTTAACTCCCCATATACATAATACTAAATCCATTCCAGGTTATGCTATCTTAATTGATCTCTTCTTTAAACATGACTTCAAATTCTGTATAATCTCAACATACCTTCCCTGTTACAATAGCTCTATTAGACTTGAAATCCAGAACACAATTATTCAATGAATAAAAGATGCACACTCTCTCAATATACTACCTATAGTACTTGGAGACTTCAACGCTTCACCGATAATATCCACTCTTATTTTATTAAATACAAACTTCTTCAATTTCTTACATATAATAATATGTACAATCTTGCCTTGCACACTTCCTTATCTGCTCCTACATGGCAAAATTCTAGATCTAGCAGTGAAATTAACTTTATCTGGGCCTGTCACATGAGCTTAACTTACCTTACCTCTTTTGAAATAGATGATACAGATACTAACTTACTAAGTGACCACAAAATTCTCATTTCTCACTGGTCTTTTCCATATGCTCTGCATGGCCAATGCAGACATAAAACATGTACATGCAGAAGAATTTTTAATTACAAGGCTATGAACGATACAAAATGAGAAGAATTCTCAAACCAAGTTAGCACTAATCTTGATTTTAATCATACACCCTTCTTAACTCATACTCCAAAATCTCTTGAAACTACTTGGCACAAAATTTATACCAGTATAATTACAGCCGCTCTCAAACACATTCCCAACAAAAAATTTTCTGTTCGCAATTTCCAATACACATTTTCTTCTAAAGCTACTCATCTTCACTTTAACCTTAAGAAACTTGGAAATATTATTTGACAAACTAAATATGCTTTCAAACACCAGTTACTCATCTCTTATCATCTTAATAATTCTATCTCTATACTTAACCAATCCTCTGAGTTACACATTCCTTACCTCCCAAGCTCGCACCAACTACTTAACTCTTGGATAACTGACGCCAACTCAGAGTGGAAAAATCTCTTTCATGCTCGCAATATGGAGAATATCAAAGAAATTAGACAACAAATTTCTGAGGCTATTAATAAAAGATGCTCTAAACTTCAAACTCACCCTACTTCTATGATCAACAGTATTCTTAACTGCCACAAAGACCCAGTTAAATTTAACAACATCCAACTTGATAATGACATTATTAGTGACCCCCAACCATCAAATCCTATATCCAACAACACTTTGAAAACTGGATTGCTGCTTGACATATTAACTCTGACATCTTTAATTCCCATTAGCAAACAGAATACAAACCCAAACCTAACATCAACCCCAACTGGTACTCCAATACCCTCTCCAACTTTACCGAGGCTGAAATTATACTAATCATTAATCAACTTCCTAACAACAAAGCTTGTGGCCCATCAGGTATTAGCTACGAAATGATAAAACATGCTGGCTCCAACTTCATCACTACTATAACATCCTTCTTTAACCGTTGCCTCCTTTCTCAAACTATACCCAAACAATGGAAAGAAGGATGCATCTTTTCTATCTCCAAAAAACTAATTTTTGATGGCAACCTATCTAATACCAGACCTATTAGCCTTATAGAACATATTAAAAAGCTATACACTAAACTTCTTACAAACCATCTCAACCTTATTCTCTCTCAATACAACATTCTCTTACCATTCAACTTTGTTGTGCTTCCTGGTAACTCCACTTCTATACCTATTCATATTCTTAACAATATAATTGAAGATGCAAACTGCAACTCAAACCAACTTTGGCTCCTTTCTCAGGACATGAATAAAGCTTATAACTCAGTCAACTTTGAACTTTTCCAAAAATCCTTATACCAAATCCAAATGCCTCAACAGCTCATTAACATTTTAACTAATCTCTTATTCTACTGTACCAACCATGTTATTACCAACCTTGGTCTTACAAATTTTTATTCAGTTAAAAATGGTATTGACCAAGAAGAAACCATTACTCCTCTCTTTTGGAGAATCTATTATGACCCTCTAATTTTCAACATCTCCTCACATTTTTCTGGATACACACTCTCTACATCTTATCAAACTAGCCTTATCCATCCTTCTACAAACCATCTTAATACTTTCATTTCAGTTCTTGCCTATATGGATGACACTTTATAGATCGCCCAATCCAAAACACAGCTTGAAGAAATTACTAAAATAGCTTCCTTCTTCTATTCTATAGCTGACATTCAAGTCAATCCTACTAAATCTGTATTTATTACCAAGGAACCTTTCTCCAACCTTTCATTCCTTAACTCCAACCTGCAATCTATTCCGCCTCATCAACCTTTTAAATTTCTGGGATGCTGGTTTACTCTCAACAACAAACAGTCTTTACAAATTAAGCTAATCCAAGACAAAGCCATTCAGTTAGCCAATATCGCTGGCACCAAAAACATAATAGACAAACAAATTATCTATATTATTAATACTGTTATTATCCCTACTACTGAATACCAGCTCCACAATGTCGTAATTCCTCTTCATAAATGCAACCAAATCTTGGGCAAATACTTTATATAGCCAAACACAAAGCACACCTTTTTTGTTCCACTCCCAATAGCACACTCCTCAACTACAATCTTAATAATATTCACAATATCTGGGCTATACAATTACAACACCATATTAGTAACTTCCTTATTTGAATTAATAACTCTTCCACCCTTGGCACTACAACACATATTCGACTTCAACAACTTCAAAACAATCTTTGGTCCACAACTAATATCCTCCAACACCCTCACCCAATTATCGATGGCTCTAATAAACACACTACTACTCTAAAAATTATACAACTCTTTAATTATTTACATATCTCTATACATATACACTCAGACTTCTCTTGGCCCAAAACTATAAACGATAGTTATACTCCACTTGAAAATATTCTTTCAAATTACTCTAAATTCAACACTTTCAAACAACAACTTAGACATAAAAATATCTTATATTTAGAACAACTTTGTTCAGCAGACAACAAGACCCTATTAGACTGGCTACATTTATTTTCCAGAATTTTACACATTTCTAAAGGCAAAAAACCACTTTGGTTTAACTACTTAGAAGAAAATACTCTTATAGACAACTTATCTCATACTATTTTACCTCAATTTCAACCCAAAGGCCCTAATTCTTTTGCATACCAAACTAACCTTATTCCTAAAACTCACAAACCTTAGGTTTTAACCTATTACAATGAGCATATTGTAATAGGCCAAGTTCACAGAACTTTTACACAAACAAATACTATTTCTATAACACACTGGCAATATAATATTGATACTTCTATTTCTAACCACTACCCATTATCTCCTATTTCCTGCACACTCTGTCAAGGCTGCAACCTTAACTCCAAACGTATTTCTAGCTGCTGTACCTTAGAGGTATTAGCTATTCTTTCCACCCAGTTCTTGGGAAGGAAAAAAGCCAACAAGCAACTTAACCTTAATGCAAATTATATTGACCTCATTTATTCTACCAATATCAAACATCCTATAGAAATACCACTACCTCCCTCAATTAATATTATTGACTTTTCTACATCTAGCATTTTTCACAACAATGAAGCCTCTCTTCAGCTCACCCAGATTGCACTAGCTAACTCATTTCAACATCAATTTATCTTTTACACAGATGGATCTGTTAAACAACTTGGCACTGACCAATGCTCTATAGGTATCGGCTGGGTTCAAATTCACAACAATTTAGTCATACAAAATTTTTCTGCCCAAATTTCTAATTGGCCCTCTTCCTACAAAGCTGAACTACTAGCAATATTGTCTGCCATTTCTACGATTCCTTGAAATTCTAGCATACAAATCTACACTGACTCACAGTTTATTATATCCAAGTACAACAAACTTATTACCTTGTTCCCTCACTCTACAAAATACTTCAAATTCAACTCCTGGCCTATTTGGCACACACTTCTTAATATCTTAAAAGCCTTTAATATTCAACTTTCCTTTTTTAAAGTTCAAGCCCACTCTGATGACACTTTTAATAATATTGCAAATCACCTTGTTAATAACCATTCTACTTCTCCAATACTATCTTTTAACTATATTAACCCCTATAATTCTTACTCTATTCTATCATAGAAAGACAATTTTGTTGACAGTCCTTCAAGACAATTCACTAAAAATATTTTTGGTCTTCACAAAACTGTGCCCAGGAATGGTTGCACTTTTCTCACCAAATTGACTGGAACGCCTCCTGGCTATATTTCAATAACAATCAAAAAACTTCACATAACTTTACTAGTCTCAAACTAAATCACTCAAAATCTTTCAAAATCAAAATGCTACTTAATATATTACCTACACACACACACTTTTATAATATTTATCCTCATATATTTACATCTTCTACCATAATTGTGCGTATACAAGACCCAGGTCTGGTACATTCCACCAATTTTAAAATCTTTAATAGACCCGGGGTCTGTTGTACAGATATTGGTCTGATAATCGGGTGAGGTTTTTATGCGGGTGAGGTTTTTATGCAGGTGGGGCTTTTATGCACAGGGGTCTAGTAACACAATACAAATAAAAAAAAAACATTGGAACGGTGAAATACGGTAGATGTTAAATAAACTTATCTATCAGATACAGTGGCAAATCATGAAGTAAAGTGAATAATCTCAGCGATGGTTTAGTAAATAAATACCAGTATGTGTTATGCCAACCAAATGTTTTTATATGCGAAGATGTACTAAAAGCATAGAAACTTACACATGTCAAATCATTTAAATAGATGCACAACGCAGTTACAATACTTATCAAAAAAGACAAATATCACAGATTTTGGACTACAAAACAGATAAATGAGACATCCATGGCTTCAAATTCAATTTTTCATAGAATGCTGGCATATATCGAATCTAAAATGCTTTATTAACCCTAAATATAAGCATAATAAGGAATCTGATGTCTACAACTTTGAAATAACCATCAAGCAGAAATTAGTCATTTCAATTCTTTGATCCAATTCATAATTTGGTTTATATCCTAAAGAAAAAAGAAGAGCCATCGAAAAATATACTGTCTCAATATATTAAACTTCACAAGCAATGTTAGGACAATGGTCCTGATGTCTATTAACTATTATTATTTTATTGTTAAATATGAAGAGAGCTAATACCAGAATAATAAAAATGCATTTCATGAAAATGCGAAAGAATAATAACAAAATTGGTGAATATTAGTTAACGATTTTATGAGAATCTATGAGGTACCAGTACTGCCATTTTATACATACGGGTAATTGATTTATTAATATAATTAACATGTGCAAACTTTATTTTCTACATATAATTTAAAAAGATTTTTGTGTTTTTTTAATCCTGTTATGTCTTGAATAAATCAAGTTTTTTTAGTGATAAGGTAATGAAAATTTTATTTGTGCATAATTATATTAATAATATGAGACAAAATAAAACAAAAGAAAAGCAATCATCACTAAAAAAAAAAGAAGCTGGAATGCATGTGAGAAATTAGCGATTGTTACATACCTTGAAAAAAATCCCATGGTTAGTAAACGAAGTGTTACAACACAATTTAATATAACACCAAACAATTACGTGAGTGGATTAAGAAAAAAATTGAATTAAAAAATGTTCCACCTTATGTAAAACGGTTAAATATTGGTGCGCGTCCTAAGTATCCGCTTTTAGAAGTTGATATTAAAAATTGGGTTAAATCTTTACGTTCACAACAAAAAATCATGTCTAGACAAATGATTAGAACAAAAGCTAAACAACTTGCAAGTCAGCCACGTTTTGTTTCACTTTATCCAACAATCAACGAATGCAAGTGGGGCGAAAAGTGGGTAGAGGGCTTTATGTGTTGTAATAAATTTAGCAATCAGCGGCGTACTACTGTAGCACAAAAATTGCCAGAGGATTTAGAACCTCTAAGGGATGAATTTTTAAGTAATGTACTATATCATCGTATGCTTTACAATTATCCTCTTTTACTCATTGGAAATATGGACAAGACTCCATTTGCATTTGATGTACCTAGCAATTATACTGTCAAAGAAACGGGTGCCTATACTGTTTCAATCCGTACAACTGGATACGAAAAGTCCAATTTCACAGTTGTTTTAGGTTGTTTGGCTGATGGAACCAAATTGGTTCCTATGGTAATTTTTAAGTTAGTAAATGTACCTCGACAAACATTTCCTCAAGGTATTGTTGTAAGAGCTAATCCAGAAGGCTACATGAATTCTGATGAGATGATTTTTTGGATAGAAAATATTTGGAACTGTTATGCTCCTTTGTCCATTAATCCTCGTTCTTTACTTGTTTTGGATTCATTTTGTGGTCATACAACAGATCTGGTTAAAACCAGATTTAAAGAAAAAAACACTAACATTGCAGTAATTCCAGGTGAACTAACTAAAAAATTGCAGCCATTAGATGTATATATCAACAAATCTTTTAAAGAAAAGGTAAGATAGTACTGTATTCGTATTAAATCAAATTTTTGATTTTTATTACACAATTATGCAATAATTACATCATAATTACACAATAATTACACAATAATTACACAATAATTACACAATAATTACACAATAAAATTAAGTATCACAAATATTATCTCGATTGGATGAGAGAAGAAGTTAAGAAATTAACACCTACTGGTTGTATTCAGCGTCCTGCCTATAATGTAGTAGCTGAGTAGATAAAAAGAGCATGAGATCAAGTTGATACTGCCCTTATTCTGAAGAGAATGTCATGTTCAATTACAAGTGGGTAAATGACCCAGAAGCTCAAAATAAAAGAAGTAATTTTGTGTATGCTAATGTGGATAATTTTGATGATAATGAAAGTATTGTTGATTTAACTCAAAACGATGATGCAAATATGAATAATGATGGTAAAGAATAATTAAGAAATATGGTTTGTTTATTGAAAATGAAATATGTTAACCATTTTTATAAATTTTATAATTATGATTTATTAGATGGTGGTGACAATTTATATGAAGGCGAAGATAGCAGAAACAGGAACAGTTCAAATGAAGCTGAGAATGAAGATGATTGGAATAAAAATAAGGAAAATGGTTGGAATGATAATGTTGAAAATGGTTGGAATGAAAATGATGAGAATGAAGGTCGAAATTATGATTGGAATGAAGATAGAAGTGAATATCCAAATGAAGATTGGAATGAAGATAGAAGCGAATATCCCAAATGAAGATTGGAACAAAGGTTAGAATGAAAGTAACGTTAATAATTCAAGTCACTCTGATGAGCAATTTAATATGAATGAAAAAGATACATATTTCGATGATAAAGTAAATACATATTATGATGATAAAGTAGCCGACTATAATAATTTGTGGGATTAAAAACTTTCAGAATCATAATACAGTAATACAAAATGAAAAATAATACATTGGATATAATCAGATCGCTTGCAAATTTAAGACATAGACAAATAATGTATGGAAACAATTTGTTATATGATGGGTTATAGAGAATCTTTAAATACCAAGTAATGACATGTATAAATTCACTTGCAAAATATAAATAAATAATTAGAATTGAACTGAATAATTTTAAAATCGATTACATAACAATTTCATATATTAACATTTCTCATCATTCTTACAATAACTTGTTTTTACAATTACTTTGCTTTATATGTTCATTCTGATAATTACTTCTCCAAAAATCACTTCTCTTACACTGGTAGAAAATTAAAAATTCAACATGTCAAATAGCACTATTCGAATGCCATTCAACATGCCATTCAGTGTGCTATTCAACTTGAATGCCTGTGAAATCATGTAATAGAGTTAAATAGCATACTGAATGGTATATTGAATAGCATTTGAATAGTGCCATTCGACATGTCGAATGTTACAAACTTAAAAAGTTACTTGTACTTAATGACATTGAATCAAACAATGCACTGTCATCAAGGTGTATAAAGAAACTTATATAATGTGCAGTATGAAAAATCTCTTGCATATTTAAACGTTTATATAAATGAATTTACATCAAAAAGACGTGAATTATGAGCAAATATAAAGAATTTCTTTGCACCTTAGATTAGTTTATGCATAGAAAATTTAATGTAATTTTTTGTTTTATATCTATATTGCTATTTTAAAATATAAGCTTCAATATTAAATTTGATATAAATAAATATTCTAATATTATACCCGGGTCTTTTAATATATCTATTCTCTATATTATACCCGGGTCTTTTAATTATTATTTCTTATAATATACCTGGGTCTACTACATTCCACCAAAATCTTTACCTGTATTATAGACCCGGGTCTGATTCATAGTGGGTCTACTATTTCAGGGGATTTTGTATACGCACAATTATGGTACTTGCTTCTCTTGCAATAACTTAGACTCTCCCTCACACTGGTATACTTGTCCCAACTACAACCTTTTAATTCAAACCATTAACTCCTCCATACATGATACCATTACTAATACTGATCTTAATCTCTCCTCCTATCAATTAAATAACCTTATACATACTATCTCTTCACACCCCGCTTTCAGCCTTCAACCATCTCAACTATACTCCTTTTTACTCAATTCTACACTCAAAGGCCTTATACCTATATCTCTAATTCAATCCCTAGACCCATTTGAAATTTCATACTCTAACTTCTCCCAACTTGTTATTCGGCTACTCCTCAAAATTTCTGATCAACTTTACAACAACATCTGGATTCCATACTGTACAAACTTCTCTAACTAGAAAAAATCTTGCCAAATTCCTCTCTACCCCAACTTTAAAAATATACCCCAATCCTCCTCACAGTCAACCAATAGAAAAAACAAAATTTATTATACCTACAATTGCCCCTGCGGCTCTGCTAACCAATTACATTCTAAACTCAATACTTGCTCTCCTATAGGACAAGCTACTCTTAAAATCAATATTTGGTCCACCATGTGGATCAAATATAGTACACCAATTAACTATATCTTAACAATTCAAACCTAGATGAGTTTTGACCACTCTAGTAGGTTTAGGTC